ATGAAAATAATAATAAATGAAACGGAAGTAAGGTAAGTTTTTTATTTGTTCTATTCGGCCAGGTACCAAATGACCCACGGACCGGTGCCGGTCCGCGGCCCGGGGTTTGGGGACCGCTGGTGTAGAATATTTACTTTGTAAAAACGGTGACTTTCTGTAAGCGCCGCATGTGTCGGACACTCAAATCAGCCAGCAATCGAAAGTCGAATGTTTCTGGTTGAACGTTTTGGTATTGGAGTTTGACAATATTCCAAAGTAATTAAATGCATGAAAGTGGAGTGGCTGGAAAAGCTCCACCAAGCCAAGCGAGTCGACTTTGGCTCACTTCCGTCCAAATGCATCCGAATGTCACTCGTGTTGTTTTCGTAGCTGGGATGTTATTTTGACTCCGCCACACAAATATCGCTTTCACTCTCATACTATTCTAACGTTCAGCCAAGTACAATGTGGTCACGTGTAATTGCCACACCGGGCAGCTGTGTAAAGCAGGCCCGTTTTACTGGAAGCAAGATGTCGGCGTGATGTGCTCTGGCCGTAAGTCAGTGCCCCTCTTTTAAAACGGGGGAAATGACAACAGACAACCATAAAAACGGCACTTTACTGCTACGTTTAATTAAACGCCGTTGGCTCGTTCCGCTTTAAATGTAAATTTGTTCATCAGACTTTAGAGGGCCGCGGACATTCACGTACCTCTGAATGAGTTAAAATCAAGTTGAGGATGGATAGATAGATAGATAGATAGATAGATGCAATTGTGGGAGACTGCAGGAGATGGATTAGCATGTCAGCGCTAACCCACATCACATCACTCTTCAAGTGTTGCAACGGCTCATCGATCAGGCCTCTGCCACCCACGTTCATGGCTCTCGCCTTCCTGTAATCCATAATATCATTTCGGGTTTATAGTGGCTGGTGTGCCGTAGGGGGGCCCTCTATGGGAAATGTGAAGTAATGGCAGATCAATCGCAAATAGAGCAGAGCAGAGCGGAGGACCCGACTCGTTATGCCGCTCCGTCTACCCCATGGCCTCGTCCTCATTATGGTGAGCTGGAGCCGAACCCGGCTGACTCCGGGTGAGGAGCAGAGTTTGATCGTTTGGCCGTCATCCAGGAGGGCACGTAGAGACAAACAAGCATTCGTACTTAACACTCACACGTACAAGATGGACAATTTAGAGTCCTCAATCAAACTAGCATTCATTCATTTAAAACCCGGCGCAGCCCTCCATGAGATTCGAACCAAGATCTCTCCGAGTGTGAGGCGGATCGCTTGTCATAGCGGCCTGCTCGGATTATTATTTTATTTATTTTTTTTGTCTCAATAACTCCCACTCCTCCTTTTTGTTGTACCTTCAGCAACATTTTCCTCCCAGCGCCAACATTTCATTAAGCGGGCCTCGGCACGGAGTCATGCGTGTCTTCTTTTGTCCGTCAGCAAAACCTCTTGCGGGCTCTTTGAATTTGCATGCTGAAGGATGCGAGGACAGTTTGGCCCTTGTGAGCAGTCTTGACTGTGATCTGTCGGAGGCGCGCCTTGAGGGCTGTAAATGGCATCGTTACATCGCGACGGATAGGTGGCAGTGTTTGAATTTTTTTTTTTCAGATTTGTTCGACACGACATGCTGTTAAGATCTCTTCTTCTCATTCTTGAAAGGACTAAACTAGAACGTGTTTTTTTTTTTAGAAATGGAGAAAAATCTTGCCCTCACAGCAGATGCCAAAATAAACCGAATTCTCAATAGCCATACATTTTCTCTTTTTCTCTCTCTCGCACGGAACAATGCTGTCTGCGCAGTAATTTGCCATTCAAACGGTGTCGTTGGCGTGGTTGGCATGTGCGGTTTATTAATCTGGCTTCGGGGCGCGAACGATTGCGCTCCCTCGACTCCGCCTGGGCAGGAAATGCTGCATCTGCTATTTCAAGCTATTTTTTTAATTTGGTTGTGAGGTTTTTCTTTGGAATGAATCCTGTTGACTGTCCGAGTGGTTTCGTACATTGATTTTCTAATGGATATAGTAACTAAAAGGAGCACATTAGACACTTAGCAAGTGTATTATTTTCCAGTTTATTGCCTACCTTAGTGGTTGGCGCCACGTTAGTTTTCATTTCAAATGCCATCCGTGCACGGACCACTTCATCAGAAGCTATTTCCACAAATGTGTTGCTTCTGCTTTCTTCTCCTATTGTCTTCCTCTCTCCGACTGTGTCTCCCCCCACCATCCCTGCCCCACCCCCTTCTCCTTGCCATGTCTTTCCCACAAATACTGCCTTCCCAACGTGGGCAGACAGGTCAAGCCGGCTGATGGGAATCAGACAGTTGTTGATCCAATTAGAGATCCCCTCGAGCAGCGTCAGAGAACATCTGAATTCCAATAAAACAATGTCTTCTTCTTTCTTCCTTATCCCTGTGCTCTCCCAACACGTCCTTGCAATAAAAACGGATCAAGACGTCCGAATGGCTTCTCAGAGATGCTTGACTCGAAGCAACGAGAACCCATAGACACCTCGAAATTAAGTTTCCTTTTGCTGCAGCTTTTTTTTTTTACTTCAGTGCCTAATAGAAGTTATGTTCTCAAGCCTTTGAAAATTCAAGAAGTGATGCCATACTCTTACGGCATATGACGATCAATCCATCCACCCTATCGATCTTCTTCCGCTCGTGTAAAATGCATTTATTTATCCTGCAAGATCTCCCCTTGCGGAAAAATGATATCTGAATTTATGATCAAGAAGTCAGTAGACATGTATTTGTCAAATTAACCATTCCCGACTGATCTTGAGCTTCAAATTGCTATGAACCATGAATGTTTCCACAGGGGGAAAATCTACTTTCTCCTTGTCAGGTTCTACTAATGTACTCACTAATTATCTCCCTCAATACCAGGAATGATGGGAACAACCCCCCCCACCCCCTCCCCCGCACCCCTGTGTCTCCTTTACCATTAATGTCCTTCTGGCTAGCCTGAAAAGTTTTCCTTCATAAACACTTGTGTAATTCGTCATGCCATGTTTGCTTACATATTTGTCATTGTAAAATATCGCAAATTATCTGAACCCGGCTGTAACTTTGCCCCCCCCCGCCCCCGAGTGGAAATTATGAGCATAATGTTCTCTCACAACAGGCAATAAATGAGTAATTTCAACGAATCATTGCCATAGCCATACGTGGCTATTCCCATCGGTGCGCCGGTTGAAAACGGACGGCATGAATCACTCGTGAAGCGGAGGCGCAAGCTCCCGCGGTCTGTTTTAGCTCGACAGAGAATCGATGTTCATGTTGCTTGCTCAGCAGCGTAGCATGTAGCATTGCTGCGATTTGTTTAATAATGCGGCGAGTTGCATGCTCTCGCTCTCTCATGTCACACCATGAAAGCTGATGCAGCAATCGCCATCCTTTCCACACACCCCGCTGGGGAAACGCAAACTTGATCAGGGTTTAACCCCCCACCCCAAAAAAAAAATTGCTTATTCACAGCTGAACTCCATCCCAGTTGATTTTGGGCCATACGCTGTCTTGCCACCAGCCACCAAGCTGGCCAGTTAGAGACGAACAACCATTCACACCTATCAACAATGTCGAGTCTTCACTAAACCAAAACGGATGTTATCTATTTGTTATTCTTATTTTTTTAAGTTGTGGCGGGTGTGGCATGCAAACTCTGCATACAAAAGCGCCCGGCTTGACATTTGATATCTGGATCTCAGAAGTATAAAGCCGACCAACGAAACACTCGCACTTCAATCCCGTCCGTCTCTCAGCGCGGCTGCTCTAACTGAAGTGACATCAGACAAAATAAAATAATCCACAAATCATGTTCGCTCATTAATGCCCAAATCATTTCATTAAGATGCACAAGTCCCCTGTCATGCGCTCTCATTACTTTTATTGGTGATTTCTTCTCCTCAATTTACACAGTATCGGGGTTTTTATTTCTTTATTTTTTTTCCTTCCTCCTGAAATGTGATCCGTTCTCATTTTCAACGCCTCTTAACATCTCCGTGAGTGGAGATTACAGCGTCAGCAGTTCTTTTCGTTGGTGTCATCTCTGGCGCAGCCGCCTTGTCAACTGCCCGCGTCGTCACGAGTCGCCGGGCCGGTAATGCGAACGCGATGACAGGAGAGATGTCAGGTCCCTCGTAGGCCAACAGGTGCGCCGCAGCACTGTTTGGATAAAGCTCGCTGACGATTGAGAAACTTCTCTTTCGATACCAATGAGCCATGTCTCCATCTTGGTGACCCTTATCCTCTTTGTGGTTGCGCAAGTCAGCCTTAACAAAGAAATATTCGCACTTTAACCTTTTGAAATGGTCATACGCCAACACGTTGGCCTCGCTACGGTGTTTATTTCGTCTTTACTTACACATGTGGCAGCCCGTTTAGGCAGCGGACCTGCAAACATGGTTGATGAAGCGTGAGTCATGACGGCTCTAATTGCTGTGCAATTCATTTACGATATATTTAATGCCATGTAAGGTGGAAACATGATTTTTTTTTTAATGTATTTTTTTTAAATCGTACATGCTCATTTCACATTAATGACACAGCCCAGTCGAATAATGGTTGTGATGGCTTCATAGTGGGAGGGGGGAAAGGCATACCATTTCCAATAAAAGAGACCGTGGCTGTCTAAGTAAAAACACAAAGGGATTATAGCAAACAGGAACGCCTTGTAGAAATAAGCTTGGGCTGACAGATCGGTCCCACATAACCATCTCGGAGGTATTTACAAGAGCGATTACTGTGATTATTATTTCAACAATACCCTCCAATGCTCTTTCATGTGCCGCCAGCTCGGGATGGGCTCGGGTGGGCCTCTGCCAACATCAGCCATCTGGGAATTTCGCCTGAGAGCTCTTATAGAAGGCCAGGGAGAGGGGAGAGGAAAAAACGTGGGACGGAGCGAAGGAAGAGATTTGGAGCGCAGTTCAAAGGGCCACAGCGGGGTCACGGCATGTCGTCCTGTGTAACGCGGCTTTGTCCTCCCTTTCTGCTTCCGCAGCTCCCACGGAGCCGCTGCTGTGTAAATTTGCCGACGGTGGCCAAAAGAAGCGGCAGAGTCAGAGCAAGTACCCTCAGAACGGGAGGCCGTGGCACAGGGAAGGCGAGGTGAGTGTCACACGCGAGCGCATGCCGTCAACAAAGCGCGGAACGCTGATTTCTCCTTCCACACGTACACACACGCGTGCACACGCACGTTCAAGTGCGCTTGACAGTTGTGATGAAACAGCAAGGTAGGGACTTGGGGAGATGAAATATTTCTCCTTCAAAAAAAAAAAAAAACGTGTGTGCGCGCGTGTCTGTCCGTCACATGTTCAGCAGCCAACCTAACACCACTAAAGCAGTGAAGCGTGTTGAACCTAAATCACATTGCTCCACCCCACCCCTCTCGGCACCTTTGCAGCCCCACACATTGCCTGGGTCAGCCCTGTTGTCCACCGAAAAAAGAAAAAAAAAATGTATGTGGACTTGACCATGCATATACAATCAGGCAGTGCAATCAGACACCAAGCAGCGGCAAAATGGGACCAAAAAAAAATATTTTTTTTAAACCCTGCTCTCATTTTCCGCCATTTCTGTCATCCGTGAGCTGAAATCGGCTTCTTACATGATCAATTGGCGCACAGCTGTCCACCGGGAGTAACCGCTGTCCCTCAAAGGGTTCATTTAAAACCCGTAATGCTAACTTGTGCACGACTGTGGTTACACCCGTTACAGTTTGATGCTGATGCCACAAAAATGTAGCTCGATTGATTGATTTTCTCTTTTCGTCACCACGGATCAACACATTATGGTCTGATAAATGATATTGTTTAGCTTGGCAAACTACTTCAAATAGCGCACAAACAGACGAGTGCTATTTTTAACCAAGGACAATCGAGGAATGTTCTCTCAAGATACATTTTGAGCTGACAGCATTCACAAGTCTCTAACTTCGACATTCAAATGTATTCAAACTTTGAAAGTGCTTTTTCAACTCAAGCGCTTTTTTTTTTTTTTTTTTTTTTTTAAATCCAGTTGTTAGTCATTCCTGCTTGAGGCTCCGGAACAATCTGTGTCTGCTTCTCAAGGGCTAAAGTCAGGGATGGAGGCTGCACTTCAGGTCTAATTCTCTGTTTGCCTCCACTGTAGGAATGACCAGACAGAGAATCTTGTCTATGGTCTTCTCAAAGGATCCAGCATTTTTTTTTTTTTGGCCATGACACAAAATATGGTATTGTTATAAGCTAATAATGACATTCAGTCTTCTCACCGAAGTGCCCAAAGCGATTTTCGAAACTCGTCACTGTGCTACCAAGGCCCAAAATCCGTATGCCAAACAGTATACAGTGGAACAAAGGTCAAAGGTTAGCCATGAACAGACGCTGGGCAACTTTTGATTTGTTTCGATTTTGAAATAATTTTCTATCAGAGTTAGTCGAAAGGGAAGCCATCCAGTTCAGGTTTACACTGTTGCTGTTATGAAACATTTATTCCCTTCACGGTAGTGCTTCTCAATTATTTTCTGTTGCGCACCCCCAAGTCTTTGACTATAAATATCATTTGTCTCGAAAATTGTTATAAGTACACCTCTGCCTTACTACCAGTAAAGAAAAGGAAAAAAATATAGACCGACTTACAATATAGAATAAGTTTAAAATGTTATTTAATCTGCCTGAATTACAAAATAATAATAAATGAGAGCGTCACTGCCCCCTAGTCTAGTGGATGTGCAATTACACACAAAAAACTTTTACTTTACACAACCAGTGTACATTTAAATAGATTTTTTTAAACTCCCCTGGTTGCATGTGGTCCATCTTTTGGAAATGTTGCATCAAAGCCATTAAAAAAAAAGTTGAAGAAAAAGAACAAGTAAAACACCATCCTTTGATGCTGTGCTGAAATTTCACCCCAATTCCTGCGTGTGACTTGACAGGTGCTTTATATCGTACAAACCCCAAGGGACAAGAATTGAGAGTCGTTAGTACTCAAACCACTCGGAATTATGTTCTCGCAGTTCAGTACTGTCTTTGAAGCCGGGCCGCCGCAGCTTTTCACTGTGTTTGAAAGTTTTGGGGGTCAACCAGCAGCATACGCAGCCTGTCATGGTTCCTCCCTTTATCCTCGTTGCAGCAGCGGCGGCGGCGGAGCCAGAAGCTGACTGCATCAGTAATCCCTCATTGGCCATGCTGAGTCCCTGGTCAGGAGATGCTTTGCTGTGGAATTCATCAGCACATCAAACCAAGGGCAGCACTTAGGGGGAGGCTTGGTGCGCGCCAGACAGCTGCTCATGTCTCCCACCGCTATTAGTGAGCATGCGAACGCACAAGAAGCTGAAAGATATGCGCCATAACAAAGGGGCGGGTGGATCATGAATTGGGTGTTCAAAGCGAGCTGAACGTCATCGGGGGGGTGAATTTGATCCTGCGACGTTGCGAAACACACCACGCCTCTGTGTTCGAAAGGGGTTTTTATCTTTCAGTCAAGATCCCCTCACTTGTGGAATTGGTCTTGGTTCACCAATCCCCCACAACCCCACCCCCCTGGCTTCTCTCAGCCATCGTTCCCTCAACTCTGTGCAGGTGAATCTCTGGGGTAGCAAGGCCAAGAGATTTGTATGGAGGGGCTTGAAGGATGAAGAGGGAGAAATGGCGAAAGGGAGGCAATCCCAGTTGATGTTAAAAGAAAAGAGAAGCGAAGGGAAGCTCGGTGTGTGTGATTGTGCGAGCGTGTGTGTGTTTATGTTGATGAAATCTGCCGTCCTCAGTAACCTCTGGTTAAAAAGAAATCGGATTAGCTCTCCTCTGGGAGAGAGAACCTTCAGGAATGCAGATGACGGATCGCATCGCGCAGGTTTCTCTAACGGCTTTCATGGAAACACTCATACACATTCACTGGTGATCACACTCCCACCACCCCCCCTTTTTTTTTTTGTTACCTCCCTCAAGGGCATTTGATCATTTCATTCATAAAAAATGAATTGTACGTGATGAAATATCATCCTTCATTACTTCGACAAATTGACATCTGAATCTTGCTTCCATTTGGCTTTCACAAGTTATATACTCTGTGTGTGTGTGTGTGTGTGTGTGTGTGTGTGTGTGTGTGTGTGTGTGTGTGTGTGTGTATGGCCGAAAGTAATAGCATGTATGATTCTGTGGAGCACTGGTGTCAAACAGAAGGCCCGGGGGCCAGATCTGGCCCACCACCTCATTTTATGTGGCCCGCAAAAGCAGCTCAAACATGTCAACTTCCATGATGCTTTCTAAAATATATGTATGTATATATATATATATATTGTGTTAATGTCACAGCGAATGATTGCAGACTGTAGCAGTCGCTGATAAGTTTCTTTGATGCCCGCATAAGCGTCTTTGTTGCTTGTGCAATGGACCAATGAATTGCTGTGACGCTCCGTGATCCGCTTGTTTTTTTTGGGCAAACGCATCTTTCGCATCCAGAATAGAAATGATCGCAATAATGGTGTGAAAGACAAAAGTGTAATTGACCATAATGATGAAATCATTCGGTTCCCCCGTTTCTCGTCCAATGGGCCTTGTTGTCACCTCTTTCTGATCCACCTCCTGTAGTTTGTACCTCATCCTTTTGTGTTTCTCTTTGTTCTCTTCCAGACTGGCATGGCATTAACATATGATCCTGCTGCAGTGCAGAACGGGTAAGAGTCTGACCTTGGCATCTTTTAATACACTCACCTTTTGCCAAATGGGAACCAAATCAATACGGCCGCCATACATAAAGATTAATGTAGTCCCTCCAACTCCTTGTTTGATTAAGGTAATCGATACCAACTTGTAATATAAGTTTTTCTTTGAAAGGGTCAGGTAAAGAGTGGCAGCGTTGCACGAAAGGAGAATGTGTTTAAATAGGCGTTCTCCCTTTGTGCGTCCCGGAGAAATGATTCGCCCAGTAACTTGTTCCATGTTCCCTATCACACGCACAACATTAAAAAACAAAAAATGAAAATGGCAATTTTCTATATTGTTTTTAGATTTCGTCTTCAGGTCATGTGACAGATGAATGTTGGACTAGAATCGCAAAACCTCAGACTTTGGGGAATGGGCTAAAGTAGCATTTCAGACCACCTCCCTTCGCCGAAACTCAAACCTTGCTTCCTTTAAATGCGTGGATTTTTCTCCAAGCTCAGCACACCAGCTGGCTCCTTAATCTAGGCAGTCACAGCTTGATACTCTGTAGGCCTTGGGGTGGGGGGGCGGGGGCAAAATAAAATCATCTTTATACAATGACAAAGCGCCATTTGATGTGAAAAAAAAATCCAGTTTTTCTGTAGCAAACACCAAAAGGCACCTCATAGGACCGTAGCACCTTTTGGCTCCCCTTTTACAAGAAACCTGAGGCCTAAGGATGTGCCCTGAGGTATTTTGTGTTTTGCTGATATGTAGCCTAACCTCATCCCTGTCTCAAAATCTGAGATTTAATGCAATTTCACAGGCATAGCTTCCAAATTTTACGCCCTCATGGGTGATCAACGTCAGGGGTTCCATTGTACTTCCTTTGATATATCAACATTAATGTCCTGTACGTCCTGTTCCAATTAAGGGTAAACAATTGTTTATTTTTTGCAAAGGTGGCTCAGTGTTTGGTGTAGGAGGGCGAAAAGCTGCTGTGCTCGGTCTTTCTTGCCAGAAATAAACCGGAAAGACCAATGCCAGTGTTTGTCGCAGTTATATAGCAACGAGTAAGTTTTATCTCTCAGAGGTGCACTGTTCTTAACATCCCTCTTTGACGATTCACAGGTTCTACTCTTCGCCTTACAGCATCGCCACCAACCGCATGATCGCACAGACCTCCATCACGCCCTTCATCGCTGCTTCACCCGTTTCCACATATCAGGTGGGCCGTAATACGCGGCATTGTGAGAAATGGCTGCATATGAAATTGTCGGTGGGGGGGCTGTTATTTGTCTACGGAGAAAGAAAGGGAATGGGGGGGACAGGTTGCAAAACAGCATGCGTTCTCTGATCATTTCCTTGCCTGCCCCAGCTGTGCACGATGACATCTGTTTGATAGGCGGAAAGCACAACAGGCATCTGAAGGGAAACAACAAAAAAAGGATGAAAATCAAGTACCGTGGACAAACAAACTCTCCTCCCATCTAGTTTTGTGACCTCTCTTCAGTTGATACAGTGAAGGGAGTATTCATTTTGTAACGCAGTTAAAATTGCTCCCATATTCTTCATAGCTGTGATGCGTGGAGGTAACGAAACAGAACAGATCAGGATTGTGAAAATTGCCCTGTGTAAGATGTCAGGCGTGTTAACGGTTTTCTGTCAGCCCACATTTCACGCAGCGGCGTTAGCAAAATCTAAACATCAAGCGTCGTCACTACTTTGTCCTCCTTGCTCAAGACACTATCGCTTAACATTTGTTCTGCTTGGTATGCACAGACAGACAAGAATACTGCCACAGAGAGAGGAGGATGAAGGATAGGTGGAAGACCAGGAGCGATAGATGGAAACAAAGGAAAGTCGGGCCGGTAGTGGTGTCGGCGGCAATGGCGTCGGCTCAAGTGGTAGAAGTCGTGTTGCTGAAGGTTGCGGCGCCCGACTTTGCGGCTCACTTGATTAAAACCCGTCAAGGGTCTGCGCGTGGAAGGGTGGGGAGGAGGGGAGAGGATAAAAGTGGGCCAGGGCGCGTCTGTAATCCGCCATCGGAAGGCTTCCCAAATTGATTTATCAAAAACAATGGCCGGGCTTTTGAGGAATATTAATCCTTGCAGCAGCTCCGCCACCTAGCCAGTAATTCTGCCCTTCAGCCAGTCACGGCGGGAAGGTGAGTCCTTCATCTTCTGAGAAACGAGACGGAAAGAAAAGACAAAGTCATTTCAAGCTGCCACATGCACCAGACAAAATGAATGTTTCTTGGCTTTGTCGTGATCATTTTCAATGGGACACAAATGTCCGTAGACCTCTCTATCTAGCTATCTAACTAGCTATCTAACTTTCTAGCTAGCTACCTATCTAACTAGCTATCTAACTTTCTAGCTAGCTAGCTAGCCAACTAACTATCCAGCTAGCTAGGCGTTGAGTTAGCATTCACATTTTGTTTAGATTGTTTCGCACAAAACAGTTCCGGAAAAATGCGTTCATTTGGGGAATAATTCTGTTGTGTTCCCGACAAATGTGCTGCGTGCCCCCCATCTGTGACACATGCGTTCATCCATGTGATATAAGAGTTTATTTTTCCTTCCCTTTAAATCCAAGCACTGTATCAGCGACATGTTGCCACCGGCATTGTAATTTTAGTTTTCTCCATCAATCCTTTGAACAGCAAACAATACTGTATAATCTCCTCCTCTCCCTGAAGCGCCTCAATTTCTGACACGAAATTTTGTTTTCCGACTTGGGTTTCCGACTCGCTGCCACAGTCCTCGTAAGGAGCTATTACACAAGCAGGTTCATTGATAAGCATTTTCATTCATATGCTGCTTTTGGTAGCACTTAAGTGGCGTGCATTTCCGGAAGGCGGATTTATAAAAGGGAGATTGCGTGCAAGCGCAAGACCTGATATTTCTTCTATCCATCCACTTGGTCTATCAAGGTGAACTGTAGCCTATTTTAGCTGACTTTGAGCAAAAAGCGATGTACACCCTGGACTGGTTGTCAGTCAGTCACATTTTGACAAACACTGATTGCACACCTATGACAATTTAGAGTACCAAAAAATATTCAAATGGGGAATCCTTTTTATTTTTCACGTTTCTTTTTTAACTCTTTCTGTGACAGCAGTTACTACAGTGGACATTGTATCGTGTTATCAGGTTACAGGGTGCATGAAAGGGTTAATGTCACACTCACTGTAGCTGTAAGTCAACGTCGAAATATTTTGGTTACTTTTGTACCATTTTCCTGTCGATGTATCTCTGTTTTTTTTTTTTTTTTTTGTGACATTATCGTCCTAAATATGCCAATATTTTCATTGCGGGATGAACTCTGTCCGTCTTCGGCGAAGCCGGGGGAGAGCAAACACTGCCTGTCTAAACAAATAGATTTGGCTTAATTTTGTTGAGCATCATGCTTGTTTAGATGCGCGTCCAAATCACGAGTTTGGGTTGACTCAGAGGATTTATTGCTCTTAGAGCAGATTATTCTTTGTTTGTCTTGGTTGAATCAAATCATTTTAGCAGGATCAGTGGCCAGTCTGTGTGTTTGTCTGCTCCAAGCTGTCTAATTCTCTCCAGCGCGCAAAAAAAAAAAAAATTGCTTTGCTCCTCCATTCTTCCTAACTGTCAGAGCCCGTACATAATATTGGTGACAGTGCATGTTTGTGTTGCTTGGTATCCCTTTGACTCTTTGGCCACAAAAGAAGAAAATCCTGCTTTCCATCCTCACCCTCGCCGACTGCTCTCCACCTCTGAGACGTGCCGTGACTTCATTTGGAATTAATGGCATTATTATAAGAGAGAAAGGCTCTAATTAATGGAGTCTTTGAGCAAGTTGTACCGTTCATAATAATGAGGTACATTTTCTCAAGACCTCAGGTACTTTTTGCGAGTCATTTAAACTTGGTGAAGTTAAGCCATTTCATCCACGTTTAAATTCCACCCCCCAGAGGATTTGTGGATGTCAGTTTAGGCGGAACGTCAAAAAGGAAATGACGTATATAATGTCATTGTGTCATTCTAAACGCTCATGGTTTTTTTCCTCCAGGTCCAGAGTACATCATGGATGCCTCATCAACAATACGTTATGCAACCTACAGTAAGTCTTCAACCATTTATTTTCATTCAACATGCCTCCGTGAAAAGGCTGGATCTATTTCCAGTTTTTTGTGATGGCTTTGGAAAATATGGCGGATCACCATTTGGGTTTTGCTCTCTAAAACAGAAAAGATGTCCTCGAATAGTCTTGGTTATGGTGACAATAATAAGACATCAGTGTTCAAGGCTTTTTGGGTTGAGCAATTTAATTGATCCTAGCGGCATAACTGTTCTTGTTTAGCTCCATAAAATGTTTTAAATCCTTCTGCCAGAGGCTTTGCTTGGGGCTTTTTGTGCCCCCCTAAAGCACATCGAGTGCACTTTGTTCTCACTCTTCTTTCAGTTCATTCATTGAATGGGAGTGGGAAATCAGTAATAGCGGCACGTTTGATTCCTTAATATCCTCTTAACTCCGTCACAGAAAATGATTACCATAATAGATGCCTTAGTTAAAGGCTGCTACAGCGCAACATGGAGCAGTATCCAAGGAAATGGTCCTCTGAGGGGCTGGCCGATACTCAACTTCTACCTGAGTCACCCCTCTTTGGAGTTCCTCGGTTTTTAAGTACAGATGCAAACAATCACACTTCAGGGGGCGCCCATCGCGGCAGTAAACTTTTAGCAGCGCGAACAGGAACTGTCACGCGGCTCATATTCACTGCGGTCTTTTCTCAAGGCCGTGGTGCAGGATCGTTTGCAGTCAACATCTCTGAAGGCAAATTGGACAACACATTTGTTGAGCTTTCAATCACACTCTTTTGGTATTTTCGTAGACGGGTGCCGTAAAAAACAAAATGGACGATGGTGCCATTGATGAAATGTGTCGATAGAATTTAATGTTAGCAAAGAGTGAGAGAAAATGGGCCGCCGGGTCCGGCGCAAACTCCATGAGTGCTTTCAAGCAGTCGCGTGATGCTGCCCGCTGTGGTCATTTACCACTCAGACCGATCCTTCTCACTGCCACTCCCGCTGTGGGACAGCGAACATGTAATCTGGGCGCAGCGGGTCACCAAACAGGCCAACACACTCTCAGCAGCCGCTGCCCTCCAATCCACTCTCGCCCTGCCTTCAATGCGCATGAACTCCTGACTTCTTTGTCTGAACTCACTCTGCCTCCGCTGCGTCTCGGTGTCTCGCATCATACTCCACTGTTTGGGGCAATTATTGTGGTCAGCGGAAAGCTATTGTTGCAAAAAGGGCTTGTTTTCGAACACCGTATTGCCACTTACATGACCCAAATCAAGGACAAACCTTAAGTGGGTCAAAATCACTTTAAGGTGCACTTGAGGCTTCCCTATTTCACCCCCAATATATCTGAACCTGATCTTCATTGTCGTAAGATGTGATGCTGTTTGAAATGAAAACGTTATACTTTTTTTTTTTTTTCAAAGAAATAATGTACATGCAAACAGCAAAATTAGCATGTTAGCATTTTTATGAGGACGTGGTGGACCCTGTTTTAGCGACATGATTCAGTTAGCAAGCGAACTGCGTTTTTGAATTTCGGAAATGTTTTATATCAATCGATATATCGCGATGAGTACGCATTTAAAGACCATGCGCGATTTAAAATGATCAACATTTTTCTGACATGTGACAGACCAAACCAGTCACTTAATACGATTTAATGAATGTTGGCACATTTTCAGCACTTTCGAATTGAATTAATGTCCTGGTTTTTATTAAAGGGTTGGAAACTAAAACTTTTGTTAAAAAAAATCCAATTTGTCGATGACCCGACAAAATAATCGACCGATTAATCGATAATTAAAATAATAGTTACTTGCAGCCTTGATGTATATATGCTCGTTTCAGATATTGAGAGTATTGAATGAAATTAAATCTTAATGTAATCTTGATTCTTTCAATAAATCTTTTGCGTCCAACTTGAGACTCAAAAAGATGTCAAACATTCAACGACATAACCCAAGTAAATTCTCGGTCAGTGGTCCTCAACCGTCGTCACCCTGCGACCCGCATCTTCCTATTGTTGCGAAAGTAGCGACTCATGAAAACTCACTAAAGATGTTAAGAAGAATAACATATTTTTTGTGTTTAAAAGTAGCCTCTGAAAATATGTGTGCAACATTTCATAACGCAGTTTCAAACGAGTTTGACATACCATCAAGACAGAAGTGGAGCTGCACCGTCTTTGTTTCCATCGTAGCTCGTGACTACAGCACAAGTAAAGAACTATTCCTGAAGCCTATCCGATATCCTTGGTTTTATGTACCAACCCGGTACGCCTCAGCGCTGTTCTGAAAAAAAAAATCAGAACACAAATACATGTCTTCTTTTTACCAAGCTGTCTGCGACCTACATAAACTAGGTCTTACAACCCGACCCACCAGTTGAGAATCACTGTGAGCTAATACTTCCTTCTACTTGAACAAGCTTGTTTGCAAATTGTATGTGTCTCTCCAAATACAATTGCAATGCGATTTCTTAGAAATTAGCAAAAAAAAAAAAATTTTTTTTAAAAGCCTCTATCGATGATGTCGTTGTTTTTATTGTTGTGTTGCTGCCATACCGTATGCGTGACTCCCAGCATGCCAATTATCCCCATCCAGCCTGTTTGACTGTCTTGTTGTCCATCTTCCAACAACATGTCATGAGACCTCTTGAAATTGTTGGCACGTTGCATCGGTGCATCTTCACAGTTTTGTGCCAGCCATGTGTCCGTATCTGTCCCCATGGCCACTCCCCCATTGTGTTTCGCTGATTTAGCCGACACCAAACGGCTGCTAGGCTCCAACTCTGGCTATCACAAACCATCAGTGCATGATAGCTACCAAGCTGTCTCGCTTTATGGCCCGGGCTTACAGTATGCTTGCTCCCAGCCCCCGCTGAACCGTGAAAGGCCTCCTTACACACGCAGGCTGCTTGCCAGCATCTCATTGAATTGCAGCAAATTAGCCAAACATTCAAGTTTCAAGGGCTCACGGGCCTCCTCAAAGAATTTTCTCCTTACTTATGAGGCAGACGTGCAAACCGGTATTCTCCTCAGCTGCAATGTTCAAAACCCTTCAATGTGCTTCCTGTTCGGCTATTTCAAATTTCCAATGTTTTCCTTTAATCATTACGAATAAATACATAACTCAGGAAGGAAAGGTAATTCATTAATAACCTTGCTAATTAGCTGCTCCAAGGGTTGTATTGTTTTGTTTTTTGTCACAAAGTGACACAAATTATCAATTTTTTTGGGTTCTTTGCACGACTACTGATCTTTTTGTTGTTGTTGTTGTTTTGATCCATGAAAGTACAGCAAAATCGCTCTTCCATACAGATAAGCAGTCACACACACTCAAATTCTCACGCTTCCAAAGAGCAAAGCGTAGCCGTCGCGCCAACCAAGCGCAGTATTGCTGTCTTTCCCCATGACTTAGCCAGACCCCCCCCCTTTTTTTTTCTTTTAACCTCCTCCCCTTCACTAAAAAGCATTTGTGCTAAGAATGTGTATTTGCTGGAGTGCATCGACCCTTACATGCCGTAGGTGAAGTATTGAATTCCTCTCTGTTGCGCCCCAGCCAGTTCTCAGTGCCAGTTAGGCGCTTGCTGGGGCCTTTTAGAATCGGACCGTAACTATCTGCCCTAATCAGACAGCAGAGTGGCGGAGGGGGGTTGGCATCAGTGCTTGACATTAAAAACGCACTGCGGATATAGAGGGAGGAACGTTGTCAGTCTCATGGATTTGACTACTGAGGCCGAATTTGAGACAGTTGCCCTTTCTCCTCCTCCCCCGATCACTCTTTGCCTACCTCTGCTGTCTTTCACTCTGCTTCGTTGTCATCGTCATTGCTATTGCGAGTGCAGCTATTGCCCTGCTGCAATCCAAACATCTTACATCACAACTGCGTGTAAAAAACTTTGCCGGTCCGCTTCATTTTTCCTCCCTGTTCTGAAAACTGCATAAAATCAATTTTGTTTGTTGTTGTGCAACTTTACTGGCTTCCAGAAGTGTTTTTTTTTTTTTTTTTTCTGCAAACAAAGCTGTGCTGGAGAGACGACAGTATGTCTCCTCGCTGGCCAGGGAACACCTCAGGATGCCCTGCAGATGTGCTGGAGCGAAGTGGCTGGGGAGAGAAAAGACCTCCTGCAAACATGTGACAAATAGCGTTACATGCTTCAGCGAGCACCTTGATCCTGACAAACACACGCCGCTATGCGTCCATCCAAATTGAATGTTCTCCTCAGTAAGAGGGCTCTGATAATTACCTCATTACCTCGAGTACTTTGCTTAGATTAATGGAATGTATTCCAACACAAACTATCGCAACAAAGCGATTGCTTACAACTGTCATATGTCACCGTAATTGGACTCGTAGCCCAGCAAGTCGATTACGTTCCAATTGACAATTTTGAACAAGAGCGAAAACACGGAATTGAAATTCAACCCCGCGTCGTTCGTCAGAGGTATTGCCCGTGACGGACGAACAAATGAATCGACGGGTGGTGATGGATCCATTACATCTTTCGTTTTCATTTCTTCTGTTGAGGGCAAATACTGAGACGGGCGTCAAACATCCTCGGCGGACGAGCTAAATCCTTTGTCGCCGTGTCGCGTCGTGCGACACCCCTCCTCCACCGCGTCTTATTCGCGGTCATTATTCAGATTTTCCCCCGTAAACTCCTCTAATGTTGACACTTGGGCTTAAAATCCTTCAGATGTGAATCGCTTCCTCTTTCGGGGCAGTCGGCTTCTTAGATTTCGCTTCCAACGTGGGTGTCGGAGGTGACACGAATGGAATTTTGTGCATATGTTGTAGATTTATCATAACACATTTTTAAAAGGCAAAAAGTATGAATGCAACAATTCCATTTTATCTCCACCATTTTGCAATTTTGCTGAATATGAAGCAATCGAAAACAAATCACCGTTCATTTGTCTCACACAGCCTTGTCGGTCACATTCAAAATCCAAAACATAGCTTACAAAGGATTATAAAATACATCATTAGCTCCAAAGAGACATTTATTAACCGGCTCATTTGTCACGCTTGATTATGCAAAATGCAATTAGGAGCTACTCGTGGAAATATCTCCAATGCTAAAACTCTTTTCGATATCATCCAGTGTTGATCAATTCTTCGGGGGAAAAAAAAAGTTGTGTTGGGATTTTTGCCATTTTCCGACGTGGTCTGGTTCCGCTTTGCCAACACCAGTGCTATTTTGACGCCCAAAAGTCAAGAGACAAGCCGAACACTCATGAAGTTGCTCATCATTTAAAAAGCTAGGAGATATTTTCCAAAACATGATTAAACCCGCATTTAGAAATAATTGTTCATTGTGTACAGATTCATAATGTTTTTTTTTTATTTTATTTTTTTTAATTTACTTTTATTTGTCAAACCAGTTCAAACTGAGCCAATGATTTTTTTTTTTAATCTGATAAAATAAGTAAAGGCAAACAATGTGTAAGTCTGGTTAAATAGTTGTTTTTTTTTTTTTTTAAAGCTCAATCAAATTGAATTTACAGCGTTTTGGAAAACATTTTGAGGTGTGCTGTACTCTCCCAAAATAAGTGAAGGTCTCACATAATGTCATGATTGACCGTAGATAATCTTTTATTATCTTTATATTTTTTCCACCCAAAAAAAAAAAAGCACAGTAATATCCTGATGAAGAGGAATTATAGACAGTGATGTTATATTTGAGAAATGTAATAACAGGCCAGGCGTTATTTATTTACCATATTTTCCAACAGACATTTTGGAGTTTGATCTACGGTATGCTGCAGACCACTTACTAATCACTCGTGAACTATTTGATGTTTTAAAAAAAAAAAAAAAAAAAAAAAAAACCTCTCTTTCTCGACTCAGTCAGTCCAGGTATTTGGAAATAAGTTCAGTGTGTCTCCTACTACGTCGGTAGTCGCAGAACAGCCATAGTGCTCTATTTGCTCCGAGGGGGATTCATGCTGCGGATTAGAGTGAAAAGCCCCCCCACACGCTGGCTCCTTTTTCGGGACTTACATGAATAGAAATGTGCCTCAGGGTGGATTCTCTGTCCGCAGTCAGCAGACAAAAGGTGGTTATGAGTGTTTTTTTTTTTTTTTTTACACGGCATGAATAAAACACACAGGATGTGGATGGACTCACACACGTGCGCAGATCATGTACACCAATACAAAACGCTCACACCTGCGCTGTGGTCAGCGATGAAGCGCTCTCGCTAATTGTGTGTCATAATGCGGCGGGTGCTAGTTTGTTCGGCGAATACTAACCTTTCGGGGAAGCAACTTTTTGCAAAGTATTTGCAAATCAAATCCCCCCTGCGGGTCTGTTTTTGATCTTATTTCTGTCTGAATACTCGCGTCCAGCGTGAGATTCTCTTGTGTCTTCAGGCGGTTGAACTCGGGAGGATGGGGGGCGAGGAAATGATCACCAGGCAAGCATGATGTCAGTGAACATTTGAAGCGATGATAGAGTAGATACGCCTAAGGCGTCGTGTTGGATGTGTTCACCTGCGGCAAAGGAGCAGAAAGATCAAAATTATTGGAAATGTCGGAATGCTCACCTCCAGCATTTTAGATCAAATCGGATCAGGTACCAATGGAGAACAGGAGATATTTTCCTCTCCTCCGCATTTTCTGCAGTTGTATTTCTATTTATATCCTACACCGCATAAACTTTAGGAATGTTTTGCATATGTCGCTTTTATAGCACTTGTCGTACAAATTTCGTTGAATGAACTCCAGTTCAGATTGTTGACACATTTTTAAAGGTCCCATGCCAGTATTTTGATGTTTTTTTCTTTTGTCTTAAATATCCTTTCATCGTGTTTGTCAGATACTTCGGGTTGGAAATTTCCACAAAGCTCATTTTTCCCCAATCTGTTTTAGTTGCTCTCAAATGACAAGGGCTTCGGCACACAGCTTGACCCGAATGTGTGTCAAAAATACACCTGTGTTTCCAAACCTAAAGTGGCGTGCGTGAGTGCTTTTCACAAGGTGTAGATATGATGCTCATAAAATTTATAGGAGTGTCAAACTCATTTTTGGCGCCGGCCACATTTAGTTTAGTTAGGAATAATTGTTGATTTAACTATGCAAGTTACTATCATGAGGGGTTCGATAACAAGAAAATGCTTAGAATATATTTATTACCTGCGAAAATGTAAAAATTTGGTCGACATTTTAGAAAGGATGATGGAAGTTGACATATTTGAGCTGCTTTGGCGGGCCACATAAAATGATGTGGTGGGCCAGATCTGGCCCCCTGAGCCTTGAGTTTGACACCAGTGTCATAAATGAATCAGTCAGGCTAAACACCTGCTGTGTTTGTGACATTTATCCGCTCTATCGAGCGTGCGGTGACTGAGTGCGCAAACCGTCTGATAATGATCAGCGATCCGTCAGTCATTGAAGGCGCTTTTCGCTAGTAATTGGCGGCCATTAAAAAAAATAATCATAATAGACTGCCGGTTGTAACGTTTCTTATTTACTGTCCATTGTTTCTGATGGTGGTGTGTCTTTAATTTTCTTTTATCGTCTGTCGGCTGAGGGGCATAAAACCACGCGCACGCACGCACACACACACATACGCGCGCAAGCTAACACCCCCGCCCGTCTCGCCCTCTCTTTCTCTCTCGCTCAGACACTCGTTCTCACAAACACGGAAAATCGAAATCACAAATCGGCTTAACTCTCCCCGACACGTCTGTGAATTAAGCCCTTCCGTTTGCTCTCCCCTTTTCCCATTATGAAGGCATTGTCAGCGGCTGAATCGGTTACAGGTGCTACTTCCTTTCCGTCCTCCCCTCCCCTCTGCCTTCCTCTTCCTCTCTCACCTTCCCTGCTGCTCTTCTCTAACTTCTCTCTACCTCCCTCTCTCTGACTCTCTATTTTCTCTCGCTCTGCTTTCTTGTGCGTTCTGACATCCGGCCACTCACCCTATAATCATTGGTGTAAAAATCGAAACAAGTCAACAGGAAGAGAGCGATTTGATTATTTTTTTCTTTTTTTGCACCATGAAAATATACAATTGTGACAGGCTTTGTCTGCTGACATTTTTTTTTTTAAATCACACACACACAAAGTGAAGGGAGACCCAAGCTCAGCTGTCGAAAATACCTTGAAGGGTTTATGTATGAGCATCAGCATTTGGGAAGTGGTACTCTCGTTGACAGGGAAAGGAAGCGCAACGCTTTTCCCTTGTGCTCCTTGGCACTGTAAAAGCTTCCGGCATTCGCATCCAGCCATTAGGGAAAACCTGCCGAGCATTGCACCAAGGGGAATGGAACTGAGGAGGAAAAAAAAAAAAAAGCTTCTTAGCAATCAATGAGCCACAGCGGCTAGTATTATTTATGCACCAGCAGCACATCCTGACCCTTTTGATGGAGAGAAGATAGCTGAGTGTATTGATTGCTAAAACAGTGCCAATCTCCGTGTTCTATTGGTAATTAATGACTTGTCTTTTTTTTTTAATCCCTGTCAGTATCAACCTTATACTGGATGACACCTGCCTTAGTCCCCAACACCTTTTTTCCCCTTGATTTCTTATCTTCACTGCATTGCTTATCTCTTTTCCTAACACCATCTTGTTCCTCTGCTTTATCATTCCTTTCAGTTTCTCACACTTCTATCCCCTTTGCAAGAACAACATCCTTTGGTACTTGGTTACTCCGTTGCGACCTCGATGCTGTTAATCCGTAAATGGGCAAAACAAGTGTGGGCTTAGAGTGCGGCCCTGTGGGGAGCCAGGATCTCAGAAGGTCTCAAATTTAAAACGCTTACATTTCCATTGAAAGATCGAAACCCGAACAACCAAACGATGAACATGCTACATGCACGTAACAAACACAAACTACACTAAGAGACACTGATCAGAGAGTACACAGCTGACAAGACACTGATCAGAGTCAACCATGTGATAAGACATTGATCAGAGAGGCAACCACGTGATGAGACACTGATCAGAGTTAAGCACCTGATGAGACGCAAGGGAAGGTGCTGGGTGGGGCATCTAGCCAATCAGCTGACAGGATAAAGCCACTCGTGCTGTCATTGGTCGATGTCGGCGCCGGGAACCAATCATGCGTACAGCCATGTACAAAACCTCTGAGTCATTCTGCATTTTTTTCTGAATATAGGACTTTGGAGGAAAAAAAAAACAGCGATGTAGTGAAGCACGATATAGCGAGGGATCACTGTATCTCGTTTTCTTTATAAGGAACAAAAAACAAAACATAACTGGAAACCCAGAGCGACCTCCTACAAAAGCACAAAAACACATTTTTGGCATGGAGTAAACTGGCCAATGTTGAAGATCTAATTTAATGCGTATAAGTCGTTGGACTGAACATGATGTGCTTGGCTTTGTGTATCGATCCAGGGTGCAGTGATCACGCCAGCCATGGACCACACTATGTCCATGCAGCCTGCCAGCATGATGGGTCCCCTCACCCAGCAGATGAACCATCTGTCCCTGGGCACCACCGGAAGTGTGAGTAACCCTTGCAATTGACCGGACAAAACAAGTCTTTGAGGTCTCTGGTAGCATGAGCATGTTTGAGGGCTTCAAAAAGGATTCTGCTTCATTGTAAACGCTACATACCATCGGGTCAGTTTTGATTTATTTATTTTAAATTTGATTTGAGACGTTTATTTGTGGAGATGTTTATTTGTGCACGGCAAAAAAAAACACAAAAGGTCATACGATATCACCCCCATTGCTTTTCTCACTCGGGCATACGCGCGCTTGCGCTCGCTGCCTTGAAATCAAGAACCACCTCCATTCCCGGATCTTTGGTGGCTTAAAGTTGTCACCAGTCTTCCCTTGCGTTAACCCTCACGCCCGAAGGCGCAGCTTTGCTCTGCCTTCAGATTTTAGTCACAATGTGGGTGTGCGCATGGTTGAAACAGCGGTGCCGTACACCGACGCGTTTGCCGCTTGAGCCATCGGTGACTGCGACGCCATGTCGGTCCTGTCATGAATGACCAAGCGTCACATAATCTGCCCCAGATGTGCTGACAGCCAGGATTAGACATCCTGTAGGCTAATCTGTGATGATGGCTTTTGATGTCGGATGATTTGTTTGAGTAGAACAAGAAAGTAGGGTAGAGGCGGTGGGTTTTTTTTTTGTTTTTTTTACATTTGTGGGCTTTTTTTTTGCTAGTTTCTTTGCTCCACCACTTTCTCTCTGCTTAGGTTTTACTGGGCCCACATGATGTGTACGTGTATCATTTACTCCACTGATGAGCCCCAAACAACATTTGCTAGTCGTGTTTTGGACCTGCCACGCGTGGACAACTTTTCACAGTTTCACTGGTTGAGATCGACTCCTAAAAGTAAAGTGGACTTAACATCGCAAGATCCTCAGAACGGATTCCTCAAGTGCATACGTGTGTGGTTGGGGGGGGTCGTTTTGAACACCCTCCTTCTGGTCACATGATTTACTAAAAAAAAAAAAAAAAAAAGTAAAACCAGAAGAACTGATTAAAATTACAAAATCTAAGCAGAAATTTAAGTACCAAAGTACAAAATAATGATGCATTTTACTGTCGATTGGATATTATAATTTTTATATGTATACTGTATAAGGTATCACATGATAAGCTGGAGTAACCGCTGTCCCTGAAAGGGTTAAATGCGGAAATGAGATGCATGACAACACAAATCTTCTGGCAGGTCAAATCTGCGGATCAACTCGAATCCCGGTTTGACCTTGAATGTTCCATTTTAAGGCAAGAACTGCTCGTTCAATTCTCTGGAACATGAAGTGGTGCGAACCAAACCAGGGTTTACCATTGAACTCTTGCCCTTGGTGTGGGACTGTGGCTTGACTGTGAAGATCCTCAAAAGGCAGCGCCACACCTCAAAAATACTCGTGGCCGCTCCCCAAACGCTGCCCGCGTATGGTTGTGGCTTTCCTCCTCCCATCAAGAAAAGAACGCGATGTTCCGAGTTTGGTGAGCGTCGCTTTCCGAGAAATCGCTTCTGTTGACATTCATCTTGCACGTTTGGCCTGTTGTGACGGCGAGGCAAGGAAAAACTTCACCTTGTCCTGAGGACGTGTGACTCAGCGCTTGTGTATTGGTCACTGCTTTGGAATGTACCGTATTTTCCACACTAAAAGGCACACTGGATCATGAGGCGCATCTTCAATGAATGGCCTATTTTGTCCTTTTTTTTTCATCCACTGGGAGCACCGGATTATAAGACGCAATCTACAATGCATCCACTCGATGGAGCTACGCTCAAGGAAATGCCAACAGAACGATCAGATGTCAGTAAAACTTGTTTAATAAAGCAGCGACACAGTTCACTTAACCAACAGCAAGTTATAACATTGACTCGTGAACGTTGAACTCTCTTGCCGCTGCTCTATTTCCATGTTCAACGGCGTAATCGATCGCCTTAAATTTGAACTCTGCGTTGTCAGCATGTCTCGAGCAAGGAGCCATTTTGGGGTCGGAATATTACCGTAATGACCATACACAAGTCGCATCGGATTTTAAGGCGCGCTGTGAGCTTTTAAGAAAATGGAAGGCTTTTCGGTGCACCTTTTAGCGCGGAAAATACGGTATTCAAAACAAGGACATGGGCAAATGGGGGCGGGAAAAAGGAAGAAATGCAATCGATTAAATCATTCAGGAAGGCTTGTATTGGAGTCGCGATTTCAGCATGATTCCATCCAACACTGCATGTCATGTGAAAATAATCACCAAGCCACATCCATTGATGACGCAATCAATCAATTGCAGTTCTGGTTGTAACCCTGACATATCAAACAAAAGACTACAAAACCGTAAACGGAACTATAAACTTTATAATAGATGAAGACATTATCTGCTGTGCAAGATTCTTGTTTTAATAAAGAGTGTCCATATTGGGATGTATTTATTGTCAATTTGTTCACGCCAGTACACTCTTGGTATCGTCGGGAAAAACATCCCCGTGTCATTTCGTCTGAGTTACACTGCGACTTTCCGCCCTTAATGTGCGCCCATGCGGCTTTATTGCTTTTAAACAGTAAAAAGTGTATTCTTGCTTGAGCGTCTGTTATTGTTTCACAGCTCGCTAAATCTCATATCGATGCAAAACGGCGCTCCCCTGTGTCAGATAGCGGGCGAGTCAAATTGTAGTCAAAAACGCCAAACCCGCGCCAGTTGTCGAAAGCACTTCGGTGTCGGTTGGTTATTAAGGAGTTGGCTCGATAGCCTTCAACAGCAACTCAATTTTCGATGCTCATTTTGCGGTCAACAGCAGCATGATTGCAGAATACCAAAAAGCAAATTTAGGCTGGCTAGTTATGGATGACATCAACGTGCCATCCCCACTCCTCGGCTGATTTATGGTGTTATACTGTTTTGTTGTTCATCTCTTTTCCGCCAGCGAGGTCTCCACACTTACCAAGAGTCCATCAGTCATGCGTTGCGATTACAGAGTGGACGTGCTTATTTGCTTTTTTTTTTTTTTTTTTTTTTTTTTTTTTTGGTCTTCTGTTTGGGTTTTCCGCCCATGTTTGAGCGTCGGCGACGTTGTTTTGACATGACAAGAGGTGACCTTCCCTCCACGGTTCGATCCTTTTTCATGTCAGCGGTATATACAAGCGAGGTTTCTGTTGTCATGGTGACAGTGGTAACTGACAGCTGCAGTGTCCCGAGAAGACAGATTTGTGTGAAGCACCTTCCGCTCGGTTCCATTCCTTTATTGACAGATGGGACGAAGGCCCTTCAGCGTTGCGAATGCGAATTTGTCGTTTGTCGACATGGGGCCCCGCAATTAGCGCAAAATTAAATTGCAGCCAACTCTAACATTTCAAATGGGAAGTCTCCCTTTTGACAGGTACATTTTGATTTTGCTAATGATCTCTTTCTTCCCCTCATTTGCTTTCATGCGGCCCTTCGCAAGTGAGTCGGCTGAATGGGTAAAAAGGAAAGCAGATCAATTGGTATGCATGATTCTGATTTGCCGAGGAGAAGGTCACTTGAACAATCTCATAGGCCCTTTCAGCCGCTAAGCGGGATGAGAAGGGAAGGGGAAGTGACAGGAAGGTGAGCAAGAAGAAGGCGGACGTACCAGCGTGTCACCAAGTCTGGGATATTTCACCTCAGCCCTTTTGTGAGCGTGACAGCCGGGAAGGTGAGATAACCTTAAAGTCACCGAGAGTCAATCTCACATTCCAACTTTCCATCTCGGGGCGTCCTCCTGGCCGTGTGTACCAGAAACAGTGCGGAGAAGGGGGGGGTTTAATCACCCACGTCTATGGCCTTTAGCTGCTCTCATTAGCGGCGAGCGGGAGAACCGTACCCGATCCATTAGCAACGGCGCTCGTAATGACACTACACCGGCACCGCCGGGCCTGCAGCCAAATAATACTATTACTACATCCTGCAGTGGACTGCTGTCACTAACTTTTAATACAAGTAAGGAATGGGGAGGAGGGGGGGGGAAATGGGGGAGGGGCAAACGAAGAACGGAATTACTTTTTTTGGCTGGAGGTGAAGTTGGAAACCTGGTGACTTGAATCTGATTCCACATCCGTTTGCAGTGGACTGCGACACGATCGTTCCAGCTTCCTTGAGACACACAAACATATCCACTATTTATTCAAGTAATGGGACGCATGCCTATTATACTGCAGGTACAGGAAATGGAAAATATGGAATTGGTCCCACTTCGCAGTTATAAAGTAGAATGGCTTCCTTTCTAGTGTCTGGCTTTTTCTTTTGTTTGGACTTTTTTTTATTCTGTTATTTTAATTGGGTTAATTGGGCGTTTAACTTTTTATTTATTTTTATTTTACTGAAAATATATATTTTTTCATTATTTTTAGCTTTTTTTTTATTTTGTTTGTTTTGGCTTGAGAAAGTATTCAAACCCCTTTTATCACATTTTAGGCTTGAAATATTTTTTTTTTAAGTTTTTTTTTGTTTTGTTATTTTTTTATTGGGGTCCAGTGTCAACACCAAATGGGACACAATTGTGTCGTGGAATGAAATTCATATGATTGTTTTTTTGTTTGTTTGTTTGTTTTCTAAATTAAAAAAACTAAAAAATAATATTGCAACTTCATTTTTTATGAAATCATGACTTACCGTGTTGTTTGTACAATTTTGACTTGCATCCATTTTCTACTACGCATGTGTTTGAGCTGGACCCGATCCCAGCTGACTTTGAGCGACCCAAGAATGCTCGCCAACCAATCGCAGGGCGTATTTCCAGTTACATTCCTACCTATGGACAATCGAGAGTCTTCAATTGACCAGAGTACAAGCCCCACCCCCATTCCACCCATCCTACTTCAACTCCTCCGTTTGTGGGTATAAAAGGTCCTGTCCAATCCCGAGTCACTCAATGAGTCAATTGGGGTGGGGGGGATGTCCCGTCCCCATAGTCCATATAATCGAGTACCTTAAGCTAACACTCCAAATAAATAATTCTCTATGCGAAGGCACGCGGTCATTAAAAACAGTCTCTCTCGCACTCACAGACCAATAAGACACCGAAAAAGCCCCGTGTTGAGTCCTCATTCATATTACATGTGAAAGCCCCCCTGGCTTTCATGTAACCCAACCTGTGTCACATCTGTAAAACGTCCATCACGGCGCGAGCTAAGAGCCACTTAAAAAGGGGGCACGGGAGAAGCATGACGAAAGGAATATAGATGCCACAGGCAAGGGGTCTTCTCTTTCTTCTCCTTTCACTGTTTTTTTTTTTCCTCTCTCAGTTGTGGCCATGTACATTTGCCTGCCTGTGAAGTCCTGATGACACAGCGGGGCATTTCCTCCTCCTCCTCCTCCTTTTTGCTAGTTTACCTCACATGCTCCTCTGTTTGGCTCTCATGTGAGAGTGCACCGATATTCCTTTGGCGCCCTCCAAAGGACATTACGTGCATAGTTTCGCCCAATGCACAGTATGAACAGTGACAATTCAAAATTCAAACTGTTTGAAAAATAATGTCTCCAGTCAACTATCTTGCACATTTTTTTTTCCTTTAAACATTGAATGCAAATGTATTGAACTGATCTGGACTAAGCCAGCGAATTGACTCAGGAGATGAGAAAGACAAGCAAATTCAAAGATGAAGGCTCGCAGACCATCTCGGAGCAGCTGCGAGACGTTCCCGTGACGATGTCCCGCTGTAAAATGAACTGGTCTCGAATGGTATAGCGCCCCACGTATCGGAGATGCAAATTAAATTATCTCTTATTATCATTACGTTCATCAAACCACAATTTAGTGCCTGCTATTTTGGTTCTTCCTACATCAAGCCCCCGAAAGACACTTCCGGGATAACAATAGCCTGAAGTTCTGTTGACTCCCGAGGGAACTTTCTCAAAAATGATTCTTTGCGGGGATGTTCATGGATGTCATTTTTTTTGTGCGTTTCAGTACATGACTGCCGCCGCCGCCGCAGCAGCGCCTATGCAAGGGACCTACATTCCCCAGTACACTCCTGTGCCTCCAACAGCCGTCCCTGTCGAAGTAAGACTCCCCTGCACCTTGTGCTCACAATCAATAATCGGGAGACAGTTTACCAAAAGAAGACTTCATTACTCCTGACAGCCCAATCACTTACGTGCCAATAACATTCACCAGTTGTGAACCTCTTGTTCAACACAGAAACAGTCCCCGCCCCCGCCCCTTTCGCAGGGCACATTTTTAAAGCATCCTTTCACTTGCTCTTCTTTTTCACTGAAATGTGCTGGCCCCTTACCAACGAATACAAATAAAAAAGTACAGCAAGCTGAGTCAGAAGTTTTGCGAGAAACCCTTTTTCGCCGTAACTTTTAAAATTGTCCAGGATGTTATTACCTTAGTCAGCAAAAAAAAGGGTTTTTTTTGTTTTTTTTTTACCTAACAAAACTCTTTTGCCAGGACTTTAGAATAATCCAGTATTCATTAATTTAGTTGGCATGCATTGTTCCATTGCACTTTTTTTTTTTTTTTGTCCTCCTGTAAAATATTTCAGTTGTATGCTGTTTTTTGGTTGTTCATGCAGCCAACACCACACGATAAAATAAAGTGGACATCACTTTACCAGCCGTCCTCTTTCGCATGCACTTGAACACCACTCTAAATACATCAGTTAGCATTCCTTTCATTTGCATTTCTCCCTTTTTCCCCGCCCCGATTTGCCCATGTCCTTGTTTTGAATACCGCATTTTACTCACTAAAAGGCGCACCTAAAATCCTTCCATTTCCTAAAAAGCTCACAGCGCGTCTTAAAATCCGATGCGACTTGTGTATGGTCCTTACGGTACTGTTTCGACCCCAAAATGGCTCCTTGCTTGAGACACGCTGACAATGCAGTTCAAACTTACGGCGATCGTTAACGAGTCAAAGTTATAACTTGCTGTTGATTAAGTGAACTGTGTCGCTACTTTATTAACTCATTCACTCCCAAAGACGTATTTAGATGTCTTTTCAGATGCCACACATTTAATCACAGCTCCTCATTTTATATTGACTGTACTTGAAAAGGGTCTGAAAAGGCCATTTTCAAGTTTTAAAACAAGTTTTACTGACATCTGATCATTCTGTTGGCATTTCCTTGAGCGTGGCTCCATCTAGTGGATGCATTGTAGATTGCGTCTGATAAAGCGGTGCGTCCAACGTATGAAAATAATTACAAAATAGGCCATTCATTGAAGGCACGCATCATAATCCAGTTCGCCTTTTAGTGTGGAAAATACGGTACCCAAATATGGCCACCCTAATTCCGAGTATTTTTGTATTACATTGAATTCTGGAGCATATGACAAATCAGGAAGGCGGAATGAGTGGCATCGCTGTCTGGCAACTGACAGTGTGGTCGTATTTAGATGGACTATCAGTCGTGTGTCAGATGACAGGAGCTCAAGTGAGATACAGTGCCCAGCTGCTGCTGTCTTCCCTCCCTCACGCGTACACACACACACACCCAGGCTTGCAGGATTGTCGGTAGCCGAAACACACACATCTATCAGCCGCATCGTTCTGGCTCCCCCCCCAAGGCCACAGCCGGGTGGATATCAATGCATCATGTGGTGTCTGGAGGGGCTGATATATAGACAGCGAGCAGTATCCTTGAGAGCTTGTTAACGGTGATTGACACCATGCGGGGCAAACGTGGTCCTGACATTAAAGGTTTTTGTGACCAATGAGGAAATTAAGATGGGTGGATTTCTGTCTGTTATTTGGATTGGCCTTCTTAAGAGGTACACGCACAACTCAGTCCTCGGTGAAGCGACGGCGCATCTGCATTCCACATTTTTTCAATTAGCCGCATTTTTGTCATCTGAATTTCCTCATTAGCGTCAACCCAATTTTTATGATCAAAAAGTAATATTTATTAATATTATGACTATATCGCGTACATTTGTTTTTACAATATTTATATGTAAAACAATGTGACAAACGGCAGCACTCGAACCTCTTCTTCCCTTGAAGTAAGCATTTACCTTCAAAAAAGAACACCACACACCAAACAAAACAAAACACAAATTAGCTAAATTACGGATGTCCAGTTCAATTGTTTTTGTCATTTTTTTTTTTTGTGCTGTGAAATGTGTTGTTTTGGTTTTAGTCCTGCTTGTAACACTTAGCCTTTTTTTGGGGTGGATGCTAAATTTTCCTAAGCATTGCTAGTGTATCCCAAGCTCCCTCTTCACCTCAAGTGTGTGTTCTCAGGGAGTGGTGACGGATGCCTCCCCGCAGACAGTGGCTCCCTCATCACAGGAGGTGACTGGCCAGCAGCAACAGATTCAAGTCGACGGTGCCACCGACCACGTTTCTGCTTACTCGTACCAGTCCAAGTAAGTCTTAACAACTAAGCTAGCTGTCAAGTTAAGCTAGCTCGTGGTGAGCTGGACAATTTAATTTGTCAAACATGAACTGAACTTTAAATCGAAATGTAATTAAGAAGCTAATAAAGAAGAGAACTCTACCATTAATAATTTTTTAAAAATCATTATTTAATCATAGACATCTGTACATTGACTCCATTTTAGTACTTTTTGGGTCATGACCATGTCCGCCATATTTGATGTGGCAGGGCCCTCATAAATTTCACTCAACTTCACAAAGAAATTCACGGAATTAATGAGTCTCATTCACCCATTTGCATACACTAATAGATTTTAGCAACAAATTGGTGCCAAAAACAATTTATGTATTTTTTTAAATTTTATTTTTAATATGATGATTATACATGTTTACTCCCACATTCGGTATTTATCATCACATTAACAGTGTGACAGTCATATAAATATTAGTTTTAAAAAAATTATATATTTTCGACCAATAATATACTCTTTTTGTTGTATGGTCAGTGAAAAACGAAGCATTACTCCATCATTCCGGTATGTTTTGACTCCTGACTCATTTGAACCAAATAATGACTTGACCTGCTTGAAATTTGGTGGCGACTCAACTTGCCGAATATTTTTCCCCACAGTATGGTGGGACTTGTTTGAGACTTGTGACTTGCATGTCTATGATTTACTCCCACCTCTGGTAGCAGCAGTTTGAACTTTCCTGATGCTGTTCCAAGTGTCTCTTTTAGTTTCGGTCGCCCAGCCTGGTATGCCATCTTTATTTTTGTGTGCGTGTGGAATATTTTGATTGCAACTATATCTCTTCTCTCCATGTCTTCTCCTTTCCCATCAGATAGCAACGGCCTGAGAGAATGTTCCTGTGACAGCGTTGCCTTGAGACAAAAGGTGGCTGCACTGTGAATGTGAGAGGGGAATGTAGGGGAAGAGAAAAAAAAAGGCGATTGCTTCCAGATTGCCCAGGCACCAAAAAAGAAAAAAAAGACACTTTTTTTCATTTTCGACCTGGTCAACTATGGGAAAAAAAAAACAAGGAAGCAATGGATGCTAAGAAAAGGGGTGTGGGATATTGTTGGGGCACAGTGCAAAGAAATTCAATTGTTAAGTGTGAAAACCTGCCCGAAGGGCCGTGCTGAAGCTAGAAAATTTTCTCAAAGAAAATCCTCAACCAATTAAATAAGACAAAAAAAAAAAAAAACAACCAAAAAATACAGAAAAATGACACAAAAAAAAAAGGTTGAATGTGAAGGTGAACTTTATTTTGTAATTAGAACGGGGAGTCATGTTTGAGATACACACAGAGATTGTCTTCCTCAGAAACTAAGCTAAAAGTTGTTTTCACTATTTTTTATGTTCTAGTGTTCAATTTTACTTTTCTAGATATATTTGAAAACAAGGTGTTTGGGTTTTTTTTCTTTCTTTCTTGAATCTTCATGGCCTTAATTTCAAGGGCGCCAGAGACTTTGCAAGTTCAAATCTGACGTCTGTTTGGGAGTTGGGTGGAAGGAAAAGGGGGGACAGAAGTCTAAGCGAATCAGTATTTTGGACCACTTGGAAGGTTCAAGAAACTGGATGAGTTGATTAAAGAGGAAGAAGAATCTATCACATAAGCTGTACAGGTTTAATAGAAAAGAGTTTTTCTTTTTTTTCCTTTTCTTCACAAGAAGAATGCTTTGATAACGATTATGTCAGATGTAACAAATGTGTTAAAAGAACTAAATGCCTGTTGCGGAAAAGACTTGAGCGCTGAAGAGATTTTTCACAATGAGGAAAAAAAAAAAAGAAAAATATAAGGAAACGTGCTGTGTCATGGATGCAGCTTTTTTTTTTTTAATGGTCATCATTATTATTTTACGAAGCAATGTTGCCGTCAATGACATTACAGCTTTTTATCTGCCACATTTTACATTTTTTTATGAGCTTTAAAATGTTTTTAGCCCGCTTTGCTTGTCACACTGCAAATCTTCATGAAAACAAGAAAAAAATGTATAAAATGTACAAAAACACACAAAAAAAATAAACTGGCAGTGAAACAAAAAACAGTAGATAGAGTATAGGAGCTTATGGTTGAGATCAATCAGTGCAAAAGCAATAGAGGAAATTGTTGACAATTTCTGTAGTCTTTCCTAGTTGTGGATCAAATGCAGCCCATGGACGGCCATTTTTATACCAAAGATGAAGATACACTCTGAACCAGAGGTTGTTGTTTTTTTTTTTGTTTGTTTGTTTATTTTCCCACGCCTCATTTTTTTTTATGTTTCTGTTGGTTGGTGTTGATGTTAATGATGTTGTCAATGTTGGTATTGCTGTTGTTGTTCTGGTTGTTCTTGTTGTTTTTTTTTTTGTTTTTTTTTACCTTGACGGCCGCACCGGTCCTTAAGGATCCTTAAAATCACATGCACACACACTCACAAATGCGTCAAAATGTATTTTGATGCATGACGTGGCACCAATGGCAGGTTTTTTTTTTCCATTTCAAATGTCACAAACAGCCTGAGTGCTTTTTTTTTTTTTTTTTTTTGTAGAATCGTACAGGGAAATTCAATTAAACTGATTGGGGAATCTTGCTCGAATTCAACACGGCCGTTGGATATTAAATTACATTCACTTCTTTTCATCAAAATAAAACAAATGAGGGTTCTTTACTGCATTCTTTAGATCCAATACATCGTCACCTTTACAAGAAACAATTCCGGAGGAAATTCAACTGGTTTTGAAGTTGTACAAGCAACCAGAGTCCAAACCAATTGTCATGCATTTCAACATTTGAGCTTTCGTTTTATCTTGCAAGATTTTTATTTGACTTTTAGGGCTTCACATTCATGACCAGTGGAAATCCTGCATGGCACGACGCATGGCGTAATTCTATCCGGAGGCAGGTTAGATCCGATGTTGGTAATTTCTTCGATGAGCCCGGGCTGGCGCATCCTCGGGAGGGAGCGCTGTGCAGCTGTGGGAGTGATCACATTCAACTTCAATCAAGCCCAATCAGAGCGTCTCTTTTCAGTCGACTATAAATCTGCCAGCCCGCCCAGCTTGGCGAAGTCCGGCTGCCAATCTGGCGTTGCGCCGATACGATTATCAGCATCCGTTTGCGCCACGGCGCATTTGCATTGTTCGATGAAAAAGGATAAGCATGATCATCCGGCTCCTCACGACAATTAGCCTAAAGTGAGAAGAGGAATAACCGAATGTACACGAGGGATGATGACAGCCTCGGCAGCCATAACAAAAGCCGATGCCACTTTCGGCTTTGAGCCAGCTGTCAGTACCCTTCCTTGTTGGGTTGCACAAACAAACCTTTGCTCATCTCATTTGACCTTTCCGTCCACAAGATTTCATCCTCGATAATTGTTTTCAAGCATTACCCCCCCCCCCCACAATGGTGCTAGAACTTTTGTCCCTGTTTCACTGGCATTAGCTCAGTGTCTTTCTCTCCCTTGTGCCCCCCCCCCCGAACCTTCATGCCCTTCATGATTTTTTTTTCTTTATGTGGGAGTGCAGAAGCAGAACCACAAACCAATTTCAGTCATGCTCTCATTGAGGCCTGACGAGTCCAATTTGTCTCCTTCTGAGACAATCGGATCCACTCCAGTGTCGCTCAAGATAACAATTCCTTCCAGAAAAAGAGGGGAAGCTTTTTTGGGGGTTGCTGATGATCGTGATCAAGCCCTGGCTGCCCGATGAACCGTTCGAATCTTAAGTCCAGTGTTGTTGCATTTTATCGCATTTTCCATCCGTCCCGTTTTCCAATCCGCTTATCCTCGCAAGGGTCGCGGGTGTGCCGGAGCCTCTCCCGGCTGTCATCGGGCAGTACTGGTTGCCAGCCATTCGCTGGGCACGCATAGACGATCAACTCACACCAAGGGACAATTTATGCTTCCAATGCTTACAATATGTCTCTTATTTATTACATATGAGAATTTTAAAGCTTGATAGATATTTTAGCAAGCATCATGGAAGGTGACATGTTTGATTTGCTTTCGCGGGCCACATAAAATGATGTGGCGGGCCAGATCTGGCCCCCGGGCCTTGAGTTTGACACCTGTGATTTAGTGTTCCACTCATCGCATTTCCCAGATTCTGATTAATGAATGATCCTATCCGCAAATCTTTCTTGATTTCTCAATAGAATTCATTGAGAATAAAATGACCCATCGAGGACTGCAATCAGAATGGCGCTCAGTCATAGTGAACATTTGAGATCACAATCTAATCCGATTGTGAATTTCCAACACAACGTAGCTCGCTAGACTTGTAGTCTGGAAAAGGGATCTCCTCCCAGACCTGGATCTGACCCATTAGTCGGTTCCTGGACAGTTCATGGTTGAGTGTGTGTGTGTGTGTGCGCTGCTTTTTCCATATTCAGTTGTCCGTCCGTCCCATGCGTCCTGCGTCATCCCGCTCTCGTTTTGCAAAGCAAACAGGGGCACCATGCTCCATCGAGTGTTCTGTGGGAAATGCCAATCAGGCCCCATGGTGCCAATCTGTGAGCACAGACACCACTTGTGGACTTTGGATCAATACGCCACCCTCATGGAGTCAGTTTGAGCACAAGCATGCACATTAGCGGCCTCCGGGAGGTCGTCGGCAGTGCTCCTTCTATTCTGTTGTTGTTGCCTTCCTGCTCTGCTCGCTTGTCTCCTGATAGCTCCTTCCACGTGCTTGACACTGCCCGAAAAGACGCAGCCGACCTTTTGGCCCATCTGGTTGGGCCACAGGTGGAAGAGTGCTACTTGCGGTCTCCTTCGCAACAACGCTGAACTCGATTCGCAATTGTGCGGTTATATTCTCACTGGATTGGCTCCAGTAAGTGTGGTTGATTCGGATTGGTCGTGTTTTGTTCTTAGCAATCGAACTGTACATTTAGTGCCTTTTAACAGAGCTTTCATGTCATTCTACATGGCCTGTGTGTTGTGTAAAGCACATAAAGGGGCTTGGTTGAAAAGTGTAACGCAAGTACGTAACATTAAAGCTTCGATATGGTGGCTGCCTTTACAGCAGCTCCGATACTTTTTGTTTTTCTACGTTCTTGATCTGTTTGATTGATCGCAGCTCTCGTTTGACCCGCCGCTCGCCGTCAATGCCTGAGGTTTACCTCCTATGAAATTCTGGGCCATGAACAACTCCCCGGCCCCCACTTTTTATTCTTTTCCTGTGATTTCTTCGCCTCCCGTGTGCGCAAGGAGTTGTTTTCCTGAGCAATAGTGTTTCTCAAACCGGGTACGGCCGTGGCGCGGCTATAAAGTTCTCCTGACATTAATTATCCAAATAGGACTCATAATACAGAATGTGCACATTGGCGAGTATAGCGATTTCCCAGAAAATGGCCCGAGATTCAATCGTAATGGAATTATGAGAGAAGGAAGGGAAAAAAAAAACACCACAAATAGGAAGGCATGCATCATTTTTTTTTGCTAATGGAGAATCAATGCGCAGAAAAAGGAGTGAGTTTGCTCCTGGTGCACATTTATTATAGTTCCCCAAAGATCTGAAATATGACCGAGCTAAACAAACGCAAGTGGAGTTTTCCTTGATGGCACACTTGCGCGACTGCGGCATGCGTGTGCTCTGCTGCAAATTGTGTCTCATTTACATTAGTTTGTGGCATCATTATCATCATCATCATCATCATTCATACAGAATTTGGAACCCTGTTCACATGTCGGCAATCGACAGCAGATCGGGTGGGTTGTCTTGAAAATCTGTACAGTGACTGCCCCCTGCAGGCGAAAACATTGAACGAGCAATTGAATTGTTGCATTTCTTCAGGTGTGTACGCGCCCATTTATTGAGTAGTTGTGCAAGTAGTGTCATGAAGAAAAGAATCCAATTGCGATGTCGCTCCCCTAACTTAGGAAATACGACGACATGAAGGCAACACGCAGCACCAGCATTACTGGTGACTGACTTAGTGTTGCTTTTTTTTTGGAGGGGTGGGGTGGGGGGGTCAATGGTGATCATCACACTTTTCCTTTTTCTTCTACAACAGACAAATCTGACTGTTTGATCTACGTGTGTGAATTCAGGCGGTTTGTTGACAATGACTTCCCTGCAATAAATGACCCTCATTTGTTTCTCTTCAAGTCACATCAGGGCCGTTACCGTTTGTGCAAGGAACGTACTGGAAGCATGCCGTCGCTGGAAAAATGCAGCTTAAGGACAGCTCGCACAAACTGGATTTTCCGCCCATGTACATACCGAGATATTTGACCAAGATGGGAAATTTGAGAGGGAAAAAAAAAATCGTATCCGTCCTGTCCTTCCCCCTCCAGTTTTCAGGTGCCGCTTTATTCCCATTTTTCAGTCTGTCGGTTTTCACTCCTCTCTCAGAAATCTCTTCGGCCATCCTGAACTGCGTTAAGTGTGTCCCACTCCATGCGCACACGCACGCAAGAGGCTGCCGCTATTCGTTCACTTAACTTTCACCATCGGGTGGAAGCGAGAGATGTGGTTCAATAACTCATCACATGCCAGGCTAATACACACTGCGCATAATACAGCGAGAAAATTGCTCCGAGTGCCCCAGCACCGTTTCCATACACACACACACACAAACACAATCCCAACAAGAACAGAGACCACCTGCTTTTTAATTGATGCTTCGGTTGACTTTTGATGAAAGCTATTGATTGGCCACACAGGCCTCGGAGCGCAGTCATGAGTTAAATCAGCTCCGTGAGAAACACACCGTGCATCAATCACTCGGAAAAAGGCTTTGGCGTTATGAAGCGCGATAGATTTGCGATTTATGTCGGGATCATAACAGAAAACTTACTTGG